ATTTATATATAATCTTATATATCTTGTTATAGTATTGATTACTTATCTTATTTTCATCTTTTTGTACATTAATGCTTACAGAATTTTCCAAATTTATATTCACATTCTCTAGCCACAGAAGTTTTTCATTGTTATTTCTTTTATTATTATTTTTATTATTCATTATTTTTACTTTTTCAAAATCCAGTGTGTGGTTAGTCTTATGAATATGTTTTGACAGACCTGTACAATCTTCTTTATTAATAATATTTCTCTTGTGTTGGTTCAATCGATTTTTTAAGAATTATACAATTTTTTGCAAAATATGTTATTCTTTTTCGCGTACCCCTCACTTTATACATTACATTGTTTTTCAGAAGGTTGTCTATATTATCTTTTATGGGTTGAAGAATAGAATTAATTTTGTTTTTAAAATACATGTAAAAATTAAATTGTTCCATTAAGTGTTCTTTTTACAAATTTTTATAATTCCTTCTGTCAGTCCTTCTATGCAAACAGTACCTACCTAAAACAGTACCTACCTGTTTTTCAGGGTAATTATTAGGCTTAATTAAATCAATTTTTTTGTGATGCATTATGTCACGTATTTTAAGTATTTTTTTAAATGTAGTATAAACTTATACAAATGATTACAAATGAACTTTATGCATTAGTTCATTTGTTGACGAAGCATAACGTCATAAGAAAGAACTATAATAACTAAGAACTATAATTCGAAATATCATGGTCTATTTTTGTAGTTGTAACCTTCAGTGTTTCATTTTCATTAGGCACGTAACTAACTTTTATTAATTGGTAACATGTTGTTTTTTAATATTTGATGTGTGTTTTTTTCTGTATTTTAGGTCAAATAAATACTTTTTTATGAAAGTGGTTGCCTACAGAAATATTTGTTAAAATATTGTCGTTTTTCAGCATAGTATCATATGACCCAATGAAAATCAAACAAACTCTGCTTACTTTGAACTTATATCACCGTGTTGATGCGGGACCTAAGATGGATTGTTTGCAGAATTTTTGCATGAAGAATAATGTAAGACCAAAAACTATTAAAGCTAGAATAGCAGACAAGTTTTATCTTATAATAAAGTTCTGAACCCTGTCATTTAATAATATACAGATTGTCCCGTGAACAGATTACTTTACGAGTTTATCCTACATGACAAATTGGATTAAAAATTCCCTATTGACCAAAATTGGTTTCTCTATTATAATCGAAATATTTCACTTTTCAGGTTACTTAATGCTTTCATAACTTCATTTTATAAAGTCTGCCTTACCTCAATAAAATATTTATACTACTGTAAAAATTGAGTTCATCGATGGAGAGCAAAAACGCTATGAAAGTAATACGCAGTAAACAAAAACTTTGGTACAAAATTTAACATAAGAAAAAAGTTTCTAAAAATTAAGTTAAATATTGAAAATGTTATAATTCTAGAATCTTGCTATGGTTTGGAAGATTCGGAAAAACTGATTCCTCGGAGATTTTGCCCAGCGTAGGTTTTAGGGTCCCAGGCGACGACCCCGCGATCATAAACATTTTATGCTCACTAGCATAGGGCGAACTGTTCGGAATCGTTTTCACATATTAATCAATATGAAGACAATACAGACTCCTTCTCTGATTCCCATACCTTTCAAAAAGAAGACAGAACTTGCTTTAAACCAGTATTCGCCTTAGGTCTGTTTTATTGTTCGTGTATATTCGAACATATTAATTTCTATTTATCTTTCATATGTGGTCAGATACAGGGAGCCTCGTGAACAGGCGTCGATACTTCAGGGGTACATGTCAAATTGGTCTAAAAGTTCCTATTTTCTAAAATCTGATTCTTCTCAATTGTATTCGAGATATTTCAGATTACTTCAACCTTTCGCAACTTTATTTCATTAAGTCTTTCGTTTCTCTATCGGTTGTCTTTTTGTTTAGATCTTAATTCTCCTTCACTGCTGTAAGATACAGGGTGCCACGTGAACAGGAGTCGATACTTCAGGGGTTCATGTCAAATTGGACTAAAAGTCACTATTTTTCAAAGTCTGACTCTCAACTTTATTCAGGTTACTTCACCCTTTCCCAACTGTTCCGTAAATGAAACGATATCTCTTAAAGTAATAACCCTGTTGTACATTTTACTATAAAAAATGTTATCGTGCCAACGTTTCGATCTTTTTTTGAGATCATCACAGGATTTACAAACATTATTTAAGTTTATTAAATACATGTAGGATGTGGAAAAAAATGAATTTATACAATGCAAAAAATATATTTATTTTTTATATTCAATCAAAGTAATATGCCCTGAAGATGATCTCAATAAAGATCGAAACGTTGGCACGATAAAGAAAATGTTTTTCCCAACTATTCCATAAATGAAACGGTATCTCTTAAAGTAATAATCCTGTTGTCTTAAAGAAATAACCATTTTACAACAAAAACTGTTCAAAATATCATGTTACAACGACATCAGGATTGAATTTTTCAGGAAGGTGAACTATTTTAGACATTTAATATAATTTTTTGAAAAACCTAAACAAGGAAACCATTTAAATTCCGATTGATTAAATGAAATTAAATTTCAATGAATTATTCTTTTTATGGAAAGTCTTGGTTGAAAAAGTTGGCGTCATGAGCGGGGTTCGAATTCCGACACAAAAATCGGTCTAAATAAAAAGGCTCCCATTAGTCTTGATTTCAGAAATTGCACTTTCCTCTTCCAGAAAAAATAATTTATTTTGTTTTACGATTATTCAGAAATCGTGAGATGCGGTCTGGTGTGATGTAGGTTTCAGAAAAACATTTTCTTTATCGTGCCAACGTTTCGATATTTATTGAGATCATCTTCAGGGCCTGGGATTTACAAACATTGTTCAAGTCTATTAAATATATGTAGGATGTGGAAAAAAGTGAATTTATACAATGCAAAAAATATATTTATTTTTTTATATTCAATCAAAGTAATATGCCCTGAAGATGATCTCAATAAAGATCGAAACGTTGGCACGATAAAGAAAATGTTTTTCCCGACTATTCCATAAATGAAACGGTATCTCTTAAAGTAATAATCCTGTTGTCTTAAAGTAATAACTATTTTATTACAAAAAATGTTCAAAATATCATGTTACAACGACATCAGGATTGAATTTTTCAGGAAGGTGAACTATTTTAGATGTTTAATATAATTTTTTGAAAAAACTAAACAAGAAAACCCTTTAAATTCCGATTAGTTAAATGAAATTAAATTTCAATGAATTATTCTTTTTATGGAAAGTCTTGGTTGAGATGAAAAAGTTAGCGGCACGAGCGGGGTTCGAATCCCGGCAACAAAAATTGGTCTAAATAACATTAGTGTTGATTTCATAAATTGCACTTTCATCTTCCAGAAAATATAATTTATTTTGTTTTACCTTGCGTAGAAAAATTATAGCTGTATCACTTCGTAGTAAATTGTCATTATTTATCGAGGATTTGCACTTGCCGAGTTCACGGTAGGTAGTTAAATGGTTCTTTTTCTTTTTTTTTTGTAATTTTTACTTTTCCTAAACGTGAATGACTAACAAATCAAAGCCATACTGAGTGTGATAGTAATTGGATATTTTACTGATTAATGTGTGGAATATAACTGGTGGAATTAATGGTAACCGTTTAAGGTGGTGTAGCCTGAAAGAGAAAGCTCCCTTCAAGAGAAAAAAGGAAGTCAAATAAAATGAAAACGAAAAAAGAGTACGTCAAAAGAACGATAGGTTAATAACTGGATAATTATGGCATTATTCACGTGGATCGAGGGCGAGTTGTTTTATTGTGGCGGCGGTCGTGCTTAAAGTCCCTCGTGTGAGTTATTAGATCACACGTTTCAGCCGATCCTTTAATTTTTTTATATTTTTTAAAAGGACTAGCTCACCTGTTTATGTGCTGTCACTGCGAGCGATCTGGCGACGTCTGCGGCTGGAACGCAGAATTCCATTTCGAATCTTTCCGTGTCTCCGAAGAACTTGGTGACGAGGAGATCGCGAGCTTCCCTCACGAGTGGTGCCCGGACGGATACGTAGTGAGGATAGACTTGGCCAAAGTACTTGTCGACGAGACAGCCGACGTCCCATTTACCCTGTAATAAATAAAATTTAAAAAAATTTTCAATAAAATAATGTATGAAATCAAATATCAACGATTATATTTCCACGCACTTCCGTGAGATAATAAGTAATAAATTATCGTGGTAGAACTAGGTTTAAAGTGTAATGATATACAGCGTAACAAATAAGATGAACACTGAATCGATTTCAGAAATAATTTCACGCCCGTCACTCGTTTTGGTGATCTCATATAGTTTATTAGATGACCGTTCACACCTCGCTAGACGACCTGAGTGTCAAATGTAAAAATATGCCCAATGCTTAACATCCCTCAGGATTGATTTCTCATCATAAGCTGATGGGACTTTCACCTCCCCATAAAAAAAAGACTAAGGGCCTATTTATATTCTAACCCAAATACACGTTCCCTCAAGGTGTAATTTGTCGACGGGAATGAAATCTTTCTGCTGAGGATCGAACATCCCATCGGGTGAACGATTCAAAACCAATCGTCTTGGACCTGGTCGTCTGTGTACAAAATATCATATTTGTGGTTAGTTTGAATAAATAACAAAAACGTAACATTTTCATAGCTTTAATATTTCGGTTCAATATACAGCATACTTTGAGCCCATTGAACGTGATTTGTGTGATAAAAATCAAATTATAAATAAAAATAATGTTGGAAAGCTAAATTAGTAGGATTATATTGCAATGTACAAACGCTATTATTGAGAAATTTAAAACTCAAAAGTAGATTGTAATTTGACAAAAGTAAGGCAAAAAACGCCAAGAATTAATTTTTCCACGATTTTTCGGACAATTATTTTCAATAAAAGAACTGTATTTCTGCAAGACCTTATAATATTTTTAAATAGTCTGCCCTGCTAGCCCCAATTTGGACATACGTAGATGTAACTACTATACGTACTGTATATACGTACGGAACTGCTAAGCATTCCAATCTTAACAGACTACAAACCCTATAGGAGTTTTCAGTACCTTTGTGCTAACCCTGTTAGCCCTATTAGGTCGTGTTAGATCGAAAAAATGATGACGTGGATTTATAAAAAAAAATCCACTAACGGCTCCCAACCCTGGATGGACGTCATTTCATGCCCTTTTGTGTGTTCGTGCATACAATCTTGTGTGCATTCACACGATATTTTTGCTTGTTGCATATTTAACCCAAGCGCAGTTGTAAACAAAAAAACGAATTTAAAAAATTGTCTCCTGTTGTTCTATTCCTCTAAACTACCCAAAGTATAGAACAAAAGTGGGCTATTTTATTGTAACAACACAAAATATCGAAAACTGAGGCAAAACCAATAATATTTGGGGTCCAAGACAATATTTTTCGATTGACTGTGTCCTGGATCGTTTAAATTCTCTGAATCGGCCAAATATAATTGCACCCTCACCTAATTGATCAAAACTCGATAATCCAACTTTTGTAGTAACTTTTTCCTTTTCACTCTCCTGTTCTATGAGCAGATATTCTCTCGTCTTTATCAATTCTATTCAGTCTGTCAGGCCTAAGACTCGCTGAAAAACGCACTTCCTATTTTACCGAAATTTGACTTATCGAGTTTTGCCCCGAAGTAGCAGATACATAAACATAGCGTGAAATTAATAATGTTATAATTGTATTAGTTATAATAACTAATAATTAATCAATTTTGAACTACAACACTTCATTCTAGACAAATCCAGGTGGACCTTTCGTTCCTGGACGTACGTTAATAAAAATAAGGTATACATACAATTTTTAAATTAATCGTAATTTTAACCTTAAGAATATTATATCATTTATATGACATCCTTTTTAGTCTTTAACCAAACATAATAGGGGTATTCACGATCATTGTGTTAACCCTGCTAGTTCTGTTAGGTCGTGTTAGATCGAGAAAATGATAACGTGGACTTAAAAAATCGGCTGGTAAACATTGCTCTATCAAATTTTTCAAGTGCATAGATAGCATTTTGATTGAAAGAGTTGATTAATTTCGTTTTTTTACTAACTTTTTGCATATTACAATTTAACATAAAACCCACAAAACTTAGCTTAGCTAATCCTCTGAATTTAGGGTGGGTGCAGAGTTTTTTTCTTTGATGTTTCATCCCGTGTATTGGGGGTTATTGATTATTTTTTCATTGATTATTTTTGACGCCAATCCAAAATTTCAATCATAAAATCTTCTATCTCCAACCACACCTTTATTCAAAAATAAATTGTTCATATCCTGTATATATTATCCTTTCTTGCCTAAAGTTGCTTCAGAACATTGCCAACTTCTGCAATTTTGTTTAAGGTTAGCAGGAAATAATGTGAGTTTAGGCCTGGCGCAAGACAAAATTACGGTATCGTCCGAGTAATTGGAGTTGATGGTATTACGAGGTATAGGCAATATAAATGATAAAAAGGATAGGACCCATAATGCTCCCTTGTGCACGCCGGCTTGTAACTTACGAGAACTCGTCACGGCACCTCATTCTGAAGGAGCGGTCGGTTAGATAGGATTTCAGGATAAGGTTATAAGTAGTAATTTTTTTTCATTTGCAGGTTAGTCGTTACTGATTCTGCCAATCAGGTGGTCTATTAGACCTTTTCGGCATCTTTATCATTTAGCTGGGAAACGACACTAACTTTACTATTTTAAATGAGAATCCCCTATTTTTATTGTATAACTCGATTCTAGAGCTTATTTTAGGCCGCTTTTACTGAGAGGAAAATTTTGATAGGATCGACCATTTCTGAGTTAGGCCCGACGGAAGACGCTTAAGATGGATATGTTGTTACAAAAAGCATACCCCATTTTCCGTCGGGCATAACTCAGAAATAGTCGATCCTATCAAAAAATTTCTTGTAGTAAAAGAGGCATAAAATAAGCTCTAGAATCGAACATTATAATAAAAATATGGTATTACCATTTAAAATAACAAAGTTACTGTCTTTCCCATCTAGATGAGAAAGTTATGTTAAATCTGTTACCACCACGCGATTCCTAGCCAAAATTAACTTGGGGAGTATAAAGTCCATTTTTTGCTAAAGTTAATAGTTTCCGAATTAAATGGGTGGAGTATAGGAGTCAATACATCCTGTATATTTACAATTTATAAATTTTTTAAAACAAATCCTCTTTTTGTTAAAACACATCGGGTGCTGATGAATATTCATTGATTGTATTGAATAAGTGGAACTTAACATAAAGCCGTTTCTCAAATATGTTTACTCTCTGTACTTCGTAATAAATTCTTTCTGTTGATTGTAGACCGTGTATGTATTTTTTTTCTGGGCAGTATATCATCTCTTAGCTACTTTTAGAAAACAGGTCGATCCGGACTTGGATCTCTCTCAGGTATGAACCGTGATTTGTTGAAAAGGCTGAACAATCCCAATCGGTCCATTTTCAATTGCGGTTCGATGTCGCGGAAAACAAATATGTACGAAATCCGCCCGCATCCCAGCTCATCAGTTACATTCAGAATCCTAAGACGTTTGTGCTGAATAAACCGATAATTCGGGTAAGAAACGAAGTATTGTCCTCTTTTTTTTATAATGACAACTATCGTAAACGAGTTTTAGAAGGAGTTAAATAATTTTTCTAATTAATATTAATAATCCCTTGATAATATTTTGGACTTGTTAATTACTTTCGGAACTTCATGGGCAGAGAAAACTTTCTGACAAATGGCAGGCTGAAAGTTTCACTTAATATGTTAATTTAGACATAAATCTAGGTTCAAAAGATTTGCTTGTTGATGTCGATACTAATTAAAACAGTTTGTATTGAATCGTATAAAACATAAACTGGTTATGTGCTTAAAATATAGTTTATCAGAAAATATAAGTGGGGATGTACTAAACTGTATTAAAAGGGAATTACTGTAGACTAGATTTAGTTTTTTCGAAATGAAACTTGTTCTCGCTCTTTAAAAAGTGCCTGTGTATGTGAATCCATTTAGCGTTTCCATAAAAGATCTTTTCGAAAGTAAAGCTAAATCATTTTTATTCCATTTCGAATTACTCTCTGTGAATTTTCTTTTCTATGAGATACAGTCGTAGATACGAACTAGGTGGGAGCTGAGGCGTGTTGTTGAGTCTTATAAAATAATCCGGCGAGACTGCCACAACTGCAACTACTGTATTATTTACTAGCGTGGAATAAATAAATATCAATCTGTAAATTATTTCACTTGCAGTAAATTTTGAACGAACTGTGGCTAGTGATTAAAAGGCTGGAGATTCTCACAAACATACAGCAAGACGTCACCTCGTCCAGCTCAAATCCTTCTCTAACCCAGACACTGTCATAGTCACTCAAATGACTGACTGAAGGTTTGAAAAAAGAAGAAAAAAGAAAAGAAAGATTCTTAAGAATAAGAATAATATCAAATGAAATCAACGAAGGAAAAAGATTGACTGACATTGATCTTTATGAGTACCAGAATGGAAGGACATAATGCTGTCTGTTCAGATGGGTTTAATCAGACAAAAGTAAACAACGCATTAATGATTATTTACTGTCTATTTCGACTACGATAGCTTCTAATTACCTAAAACTAATGTAGAAAAATAATGGATTTAATTTTATACAAATAACACAGACAATCCACCCACATTACCTTCACTCTCCATAAAAAGATCTCCCCTCGTTTTCTTAAATAATATTCCCCTCCCAACTGCGGACAAGGTGCGGTACCTCAGAATGTGCATCGACAAACGCCTAACGTGAGGACACACGATTGAAACGTCAGGAGGTTATGATATAGAGCTCTTGCACGACTTGTTGATAAACGCTCTAATTTACCTCTCAAAAATAAAAGGCTGCTTTACAACACCATATTTACGAGCCGATATGGACTTACGGACTGGAACTTGGAAGTTTGGGGTTCAGCCAAACATTCCAACAAGGTTTTCAAACTGCCCAGTCCTTAATACTATGAAAAATACTAGAGGCTCCATTTATGTATCGAACCTAACTACACATACAGATTTACATATCCCTTTCGTTCAAAATGAAATACGTTC